TAATATTATATTAATAATAGTATGATATTATATTAATAATAAAATAATATTATTTTATAATATATAATAATAACAAATTGATATACCAAAACAATTAAATATATTATTATTTAAAAGTAATATGTAATAATTATAATATAATATAACATATTAAAATACAATATAATATTATAATACATTATACAATATTATATTATACTATATTTAATATTTATAATACTGTAATAACGGAAACTAAATATTATAACATTTTACTTATAATATACTTTATTATAATTATTAGTATATAATATATTAATAATATATTTAGTACTAATGTTGTAACGGGTCGAACTAGTGTTGACAAAAAACACTCAACATGGTGTTTTAAAAATACTTCAAGTGGAAAACACGTACAATACCATAGTATTTTTTTCCAAAAACACAATAAGAAAAACACTGTGATACACAAACAAAACCTTAGGAATTCAAATGACCACATTGAAATCATTTATCCTCTACTGAAGATATGCATGAAACTCTGACTAAATGATTATTCTTACAATATTTTCCTCTCTCTCTCTCTCTTCTTTCTTTCTTTCTTTCTTTTTTATTTTATTTTATTATTATTACAAGTAGACAAAGGAAACAGAGGAACAGTCGGAGGACCAGCATACTTGGAGGAATGGGTTAACGCACTACCGTCAATTTCGGCTGGCGAGTCACAATTTAAAGTCACATTTGAGTGGGGAAATAGCCAAGGAGTACCGGGTGCCGTAGTTGTTAAGAACAATCACCATTCAGAGTTCTTTCTCAAGACCTTGACTTTAGACTGGGTCCCACAAAAGGGCCCGGTCCACTTCGTGTGCAACTCTTGGGTGTACCCCGTTCACAAGTACGAGCATGATAGGGTCTTCTTCACTAATGATGTAAGATTTTCTTGCAATTCCTTTTTATGTTTTTGAAGATGAAGAGCATTGGGTTGTGTCACTTTAGTCATATGTTATTTTTTATAGGAGGTCATTGCATGATACTGCTTTAGTTAGAATATGCTATATATATGAGGCCATTAGGCGGCATGCATGATGTTGGTTTATAGTTGTGATGGATAGGTTTCTTAAGTATTATTCTAATAAATGGTCATGATTAAGGTAACTTTGACCATACTAAGGAATTGAGAAAAGCTTAAGCTCACTTTATCATTCGAGGATCTAGATGAGATTAAGTTGATACACCAGAGACCCCCATTGAAGTTTTAGATTATATATTTATTAATTGTTACAAGCACCTAAAATTTCTGTTGACCAATGTAATTTGTAGATGTATTTACAACATATATGGGCTTATTTTCCTTTAAAAAAATATGAAGACTGTTCTGATGGTCCTATGCATTAGATACGATAGACGCAGTAAATCCTAAGTAATATAATTTTCAGTTTGAAAAAAAGGTCAATATGACTTTTTGTGGTTATTGTTATTATTATTATTATTTTCATAATTTTGATTGCAGACGTATTTGCCGAGTGAAATGCCAGAAACTCTGAGACAATACAGAGAAGAAGAGCTACACCATCTAAGAGGCGACTATGTCACAGGCGAGCTCCAAGAGCACGATCGCGTCTATGGTTATGCCTACTACAACGATCTTGGTGATCCTGACAAGGGACCCGCATCTGCTCGCCCTGTGATTGGCGGCTCCAAAGAATACCCTTATCCCCGCAGGGGACGAACTGGACGTCCTCCTACACAAACCGGTAAGCAAATTTTTTTTTTTTCAATGACCCCATTTTCATTAAGAGAGGACATGTTAATTCATAAATGTTTTTGTTAAGATTGTTTCACATCCATTTTATGTTTGAGTTTGATTTAGCAATTCGCTGGAAATCTTCTTAATATGGTTGGGTTTATGACTCAAATAGGAGTAACTGTTTTGATATCAATTTAAGTCCAAGCGGATTAACTTAGTTCATCTCTATTCATAGGCATTTGTACTCCTATAACAGTTTTAAAGTCACTTTCAACACCAAATTTATTATCAACGATAGAGAGTTATAAGTTAGTACTCAACATGCTTCTACAATTTGAGAGCCCATCTCATGGGCCAAACCCTGATTTATTTCACAACGGTAAAAAAAGAGTCAATCGCAGATAGAACCATGGTAATTCTATCGATGAGGATAGACCCGCTCTACTATTTTTCTAAGTGTGGAGAGTTAAAGTATATATAGGGGGTCTATCCGCACCAATAGACCTACAATGGGTACAATTGGGCTAGGGTACGTCCATCCACAATTAACCATAAAAAGAGTTCAACGATTTGAACTTTGATTACCCCACTGCCATCTTAAGTCGTCCCTTCTGTAATTCTAATTAATTCTGAAGTTGTAACGGGAGTTAAGGGTTATAATTTTCTGCTCTGACAGTATGTTCTTATTTCCTCATTTATCTTTCAGATCCGAAATCGGAGAGTAGACTCCCCCTCGTGAGCCTAGACATCTATGTTCCACGAGATGAACGGTTTGGTCACCTTAAGATGTCTGATTTCCTTGCATACGCACTAAAGTCGGTGACCCGGGCTTTACTCCCCACCTTGGATGCGTTGTACTTCGATGAAACAGCAATGGAGTTTGATTCGTTCGAAGACGTGCTTAACCTCTATGAAGGAATGCTTCAGCTGCCTGAGTCTCCAGCTCTTGAGGAGATTAGAAGCAGGACTCCCCTTGAGATGATTAAGGAATTGGTGAGAGCTGAGGGGGAGTATATACTTAGGCTCCCGGTACCACAAGTTATCAAAGGTACTGAGAATGGTTATCATGATTTGCAATCTCCCTTTTTGTACATTATTCGTTTTAATTCCTCGTTGATAATTATCTTACGCCTCGTTTGGTACGTGGGAATGAAGTCAAGTGAGAATGGAATGGAAGAAGGAATAGAATGGAATGTATGTGAGAATGGAATGGTCATTCTCATTCTCTTGTTTGGGTGCGTTTGTAGAATGAAGCTAGAATGAAAATCTAATTCTCATTCCCATGTTTGGTATCACTAGTTCACAAGTGAGAATAGAATCTTATTTTCTAATAATGCCCTTATAACAACATAGATTTTTAATAAGATAAAAATAAACATTAATGATAATAACTAAAAAAAATTATTTATGCATATGTTATATTAATCTAGGTATGTGTTATACTAATGCGCATGTTATCGATTAGGTGTATTTTTCGTTTATATTTTTTAAACAATTCTCACTATTTCTTAGTCTTAAAAAATTAAATAAAAATAAATAAAAGATTATTGCATCTTTCATAGGTCCAAAAAAATATAAAGAATGAGAATACATCGATTTTAGGGGCGATGAATAGAAAGGATGCCTTTTTTGTTTCGGTGGAGCCTAAAAAAACAGGGAGAAAATGAGAATACGTAGTCAAAAGCCATGATTTTTAAATTACTTATTATTATTAATAGGGGTATAATTAAAAAAAACCTAACTAATTTGATTCTCCCATTGAATGAGAATGATCATTCCCTATCTTTTCACATAGAATGCACATTCCCACAAAAAATGGGAATAGCCATTCCATGAGAATGATCATTCCAACATCTAAAAACTAGTTTTGACATTCCCACAAAAAATGGGAATAGCCATTCCATGAGAATGATCATTCCAACATCTAAAAACTAGTTTTGTTTGGTATGAGGGAATGAGAAGTGCCAACATCTAAAAACTAGTTTTGTTTGGTATGAGGGAATGAGAAGTGAGAATGGCATTCCATTCCACCCCCGCGTACCAAACGGGGCCTTATAGATAGACAGCATCTATGACAATATATATTATTCAAGGATATGTCATTCCTCCAATATGATATCGGCACATATGGATCCACTTATGCTATGTTTGGGAGTTCACTAAAGGAGAAGGAAAGAAAAGATAAGATAGGGAAAAGAAAGGTAAGGAAGAGGAGGAAAAAGTAATATCTTGTTTGAATTGGGAGTTTTGTAAGGGAAATAGAGGTGAACTTAAATTATGTTGTTTGAGAGATCTAATTGTAGAAAGGGAAGAAAAGTAAATGAATCTTATTCACTGATTCATTATGATAGAGGGTCAAGATATCTCTTTCATTATGAATTTTACTTTACTTCTCTT